AAATAATAATAATACTCATTTTCCTAGCTTCCTGTACCTTTTCTCCGTAACATCTCGAAATCTCGAATACGGAGAGAAGATCTATCAACTACCTCCTGTAGACAATAAACGCAAAGCTAAGGACTCTCGAAGCGGATGAGATCAGCCACGTCTGGCTCTGGACGATACCACGCCCAAGGATCCTCCAGTTCCCAGAGTTCCGGTGGCAGATGCTCGCGACCGGGTGGCGGTCCACGAAGCGGACTGGGTGGATATTGTTCTATGTCGAAGAACCTCTCGAGTTCTTCTGGTTCGAAAGGAGGATATTCGTAGGGCGCCACGCGCCGCGGTATGTCGCGCATAGTAGTTTTTATCCTAGACGGAATCGGTATGTCCTCTCTCTCCTCCCAGGAAATTTCGCCCTCGCGTAAGAACTCCTCTTCGAACGGCACGTCAAAGCGCAGCTCCTCCTCCAGTAGTGGCTCTTCAGCTATTCTCTCAAATTCCCGTTCGGCTTGACGAGCTGCCTCCCGTGCTCTGATACCGGCCATGCTTCTTTGAACGAATTCGCGAGCTGCCACGACACTTGGATGTTCCAGGCCGTACTCGATGCGGAACATCTCGCTCTCGATGTCGGGGGGGACTCTGCATCAAATGTAGACATTTTCATCGAATTCGACAAATCGATCGATTGATCTTTTTCGAATCAAAGTGATTAAAAGTGTCTTTGGAAAATTTTTCTCCCGCTTCTCGTCCGATATATACATACACAAGAAAAAGTGCCGATATTAATCCCACATGTGTTTTAAAAATAAATACATTCGGCGTATTTATCCTTTTAAATTCTAAATTTTTTTCTCTTCTTTCACTTGTTGAATTATTAATTTTGATTTTTTTTGTTTACATTGATATTCTCACTTAGATTCTTTGACTGTCGCAAAAGTTGATTAAAGATATTGCTTGCGTATTGCTCGAATAACATTTTTCAATTTGCGAAATTTTTATTTTCCTTATTTCTTTTTCTTATAATATTCTTTTTTCATAATATCTGTAAACATAATACCTGTATCTAGGTCTTTCTTCTTCCATGAGTTGTACAGCATTACCGCCGACGTTCGCCACGGCTATCACGAAGTCTCGTCTCGCTTGCTGCAAATCTTCCAACTTCCCCTGTACCGTAACTGCTTCTGCATTATCTTGCTCATCGAGAGTCTCGCTACAAAATAATACTATTTACTATCCCGTAATCAACACTAAAATATCGTATTTAAAAAATAAATAATTAAATTAAAAGAGATTCTTCGAAATTACTTATACCATGCAAAATAAAATTCTCAATATTTAGATCGTGAATTTGGTATCAACACTTACTTGAAGGCTTCTGTTGGAAGAAAATCAAAAATTCAAAATATAGGCATTAATTTTATAAAAAGAATGAAAAAGAGTCAAGAACTTTCCGTTCTCTCGTCTCGCAGGAATGAATCTCTTTCGATTTATTTTCTTCTTTCGACTTATTTTTTTCTTTTCCAGGGTATTATCATCAAAATACTCTTGAATTACCTGATTACCCGAATCGAACGGTTCGCCACTTCGGATGGTATCCCAACCGCAGGCGGTTGAGGAATACTGACGATAGTAGTACGAGTCTCGTCCACCGATCTCGGTGGTATCACGATGCTATCAATCGGACCTTCGCCGATCGGCTCAGCTTGAATCACTTGGGCGTTCATAGACCGTGCCAATGCTTTAGTTCTTTGTGGAATACCCGGTGGTTCCGGCACTCTCCTCTCCGGTGCTCTTCTTTCCGGCCTTCTCGTTGGCCTAGGAGGTGATATCGGCGGAGACGGAGCACGTCTCGGGCGTACTCTCTCTCTACCAAATCTTCAAACGTATAAAAATGTAAAAAAAATTATAAACAAATTATAAAATATACTCAAAATAGATATGAAGGAAACAATTTTTTATCGCTAGTTAAAGAAGCGACGTTCAAGCGACTGGAGAACGATAACTTTAAAGTTCTCCAGCTGAAATAACGTTCAGAGGAGGCTGCGCGTAGTTCTCAAAGTTCACCTAGGATCACCGCCGATCGGCGCAGGTGTCCTTCTTGGTACCCTTCGTGGCATGGCCTCTTCCCGTTTACGTTCGTATTCCTGCTTGAACTTCTCCGCGTGCTTCACCCGGGCCAGCATTGTTTTCGTCATAGCTGGCCTGGTAAACTCGACCTTTCTTGGTTCGGGTGGAACATATCGCCGCCTTCTGCTAGGCTCTGCTGCTACCGGCTGTGCTCGCCTCTCCGCTTCCTGTCTCTGTTTTCTCTCATATTCCTTCACTACCGCCGCACTCCTCGCTTGACGCAGTGCCTGCGTCTTTGTGAGAGCGGGGGGTTGGATTCGTCGGCTCGCCATCGTCGATCGTCGTTGATGTTAAGTAACTTTCGACGATAATTAATATGACATATTTTTAATACATAATAAATGATGTATTATAATGTAATATTATATTACAATTATATTATTACAATTGTATAATATAATATTAAGTTTTATTATAAAACACTATTATAACAAAGCAAAACTACATATTATTACATTAATTTTGCATTAAACTGCCTAGAAGTTATTAAAAATTAGTTTAGTTAAGTACATGTTTAATTTTTCTTCAATAGAAAATAATGATAATAATTCCTCTATTATAGATTCTCTACTTATG